AACTCTCGATAAACACTCTCTATAGCACACATACATACTATAAAAAAAAAAGAAAAAAAGAAGTTCCATCAAGGACAAAAAATTACAAATTTACTGACAGCATTAAAAATATCTCATGAAAAGAAAATTTAGAAAAGGAACTCTCAAAAAGACTGTGTTTCCCCCACACTTCCACTGGCCCTCCTAATAGATGTGGCCAAATGACTCTGTTGGCTTTGATACATTGCTTCCTGTGGGTAAGACGCTCTTTATTAAGTAGCTGTCCAATCTGAAGAAAGCGGGAGAGATAGGAAAGCGTGAAGCGGAGAGCGGAGAGAGATGGGAGAGATGGGGAGGAAGAACGGCGCAGAGGCGGCATGCTTTAATGCCGCACTCCACTCTGTAAACGACCGAGGCAGACCTGCGGAGAACAGCAAAGTGACCGATTAATCTTAATGCCTATAACGCCAGTACACTTTGTAAGCGCTGATGGCTGTCTTGTCCCCGACTCTCTCTCCCCCTCCCCTTCTCTCTCTCGCTCTCCTTTGCTTTCATCCTCAAAAATCGTCTCGTCTTTGTGACGGAGGCGCAGGAGTCTGCGCTGAAATGGCATGCAGTCTGGCTTCCGACTGGGTATACCCTTTCGATGCCATATCCATCATGTTGCTCCAGTCGTTAGTATGGTCAAACAAAATATCTTGCGGCTTGGAAAACAATAGAAAAATGGCAGGGGTGAAAAACAAGCGCAAGAATAGGCTCTATACACATGATAACTATTGCCACTTAAGGGATTCACACTAAAAAATCTTTGCACAAATGTGAGCCGTTTTCTCATCTGGAAACGAAATTGTAAACCAACATTGTCGGTTTTTAAAGATTCTTCCATATTTTGATGTTTGCAAAGGGGCTTGTTTTCAGTATTCCTCTGCTTCATGTCTTTCATAATTATTTTTTTTTAATTCAACATATTTTACAATGTGTAGTACATAATTGTATTATGAGGCGTATCCACATAACTCACAACAATTAAGAGATAGTACATTGCACCACTCAAACTTTCATTTCTGACAAAAGAAAATCGCTGTCAGAAATTTAATTTCACGACCTGACAGTGTTGAGAATGACAGACGAGGTCCTCTTCGTTATGTCGCTCTTCCGTCCCAATTCAAGATTTCCTCTCCAAAACTATTGTTTTCCTGTTGTTCGGCTCCTTGCCCCTAGTGCTGAAAAAGGTGGATCGAACTTTGAGCCAATGTCTTTTCCCTGATCCAGCTTTTCAGCACAATCATCGAGGCCAATCGATAATGCAGTCGAAATGCACATTGCAAAGTTCAAGTTCTGTGTGTCGACGTGGAGGTTGATCATCGCAACCTGGCAGTTGCGACATTGATCTAAACGCACTTAAACCTAGACCAAGTCCCATCCAACACGAGACTGTTTTTCAAGTTTAATCGAAAGAACACGAAATACCATACCAAATGATGTGCACTTTGGCTGAAGAGCTCGCGCACTGTGCTAAACGGGGACGGGGACCTGAGTTGGGCACGTACACCTTTCGCTCATACCCACTGGTGCTCGTTACCAAAGATGCCGGTACAGGGTGAACAGAAAACACAGGTTCTCGAGCTGGTGACGCTGAGGATTGTGGGTGGGCCGTACCGTACGGCACGTGAACAGACAATGCGAATCAACGTTGTAGGCCTTTCCATGATGCCATTATGTTTTGCGACAGCCAACTGCAACGTATTCGTCAGACGTTATGTCATCCAATGAGAGCGCTACAAACATCAACCCATACCATAGCTCTTGATGCGAGGGTGCTTTATGTGAATTAGCGCGCCAGCACGGGTGTGCGCGCTGTTGTGTGCCTGGCAGTTTGTCAAGGTGCAAGATGAACTACATGTATGTCGGGGTTAAGGTTGAACTGCACTTCTTACTTCGATAGGCGATGACAGAGGCGCGGGAAATTGTTGTCTTTGAGAACGGAGGATTCAGATGGGGCGAAATTAAGACTGACAGATCATAAAGCTCGAGACAAGCGAAGAAGATTGACAGGGTTCGTGAATGATAATTAGATTAAGCATTGAAGCTATGAATAAAAACTCGTATTCACCGGGCCGTTCTACAATCGTGGCCATTTTGTTTTAAACGCTGGATCGTGCATCATAATGTGTAAAATATAGTTAAAGTGGGAACAGAGATGTAATGCTGCATGTAAATCGCTGTAACACTCAGATGGCGGTAAACCGTTTTTGTATTTGTTACAAGCAGTACGACAAAAAAAGATACAGTTCTCATAATTAGTTTGATACAGTTATGAGCAGCCACTCTGATTAAACCTGACAGCCCCTAATGGACTCAATTACTGGGCTGCATCATCCTTATCCGTCGAGGACAAATTTTAACTGAGGTCTATATGTATCATCAACCGAAATGACGCATCACTATTGCGGCCATGTCGCCTTCATAACAAAACCGACATGGGTGGCACCTCCGAACTAGGAGATGAGAATCGTACTGAAGTAGAAATCCTACGGAAGACCAAAAGAATATTAAACGCAGACCTTAAAGAGTCCTGGAGTTCAACTCAAAATAGTACAAATTTGACCAACGTTGCAAGTTTCTACTAAATTCCAGTCTTTCTTTTTCAGAAATCAACATCTGGACGGAATACCACCTCAAAAAGAGGTCGTTACGAATATATGTATACGAAATTGACTGGTACGCGGCACAGACATTGCCAGACCTATGTACAATTCGTTTTAAAAGCCATGACACTTTACTTCAAACGAAAGTATCCCTCTCACTTTAAAACAATGTATAATGTATTATTGCGACTATATTGTGTCGTTAACCGCCTTGTCAGTTAACCACGACATCACTAGTCGTGTACTGGCGTCTGTTTGGCGCGCTGTCACTGTTTTATGGCGGGAAATTAAGGGGCAAAAAGTAGCCATCTACCATCATGTTTTAGTTAATGGCTTTCACGCGTTATTAATCTTGCCATGGTGCACACAGGCCGATCATTAATTTTACCGCCCCGACTGTTGAGAAGTGGTGCCAAGTAATCTCCCTCACGGCTTTTTAATGGCTCAGAAAACCTTAGAAAAAAACATTCGGGACAGCAGAACCGGTCTGAAGCATTTATCATGGCTTTAATCAAAACGGGGGCAGGAGCTACTGAATTTAAACGATATGAAGCTCCTCTCCACATTCTGAGTGGAAAGGTAGGCATACAGCAGGCCTCAACTTGGGGCAGTATCGTACCTTCGGTTACGTGTGGCCCCCACCCCTGCAACGAGGAGGCTGTGTCCAAACTTTAGTAATTCCAACACATGCTTCTTAACGACACTGTCTTATCAAGCCCGTTTTCCTGTTTTACTGCTACCTGAAATACAAGAAGGATTGGGATAGCATACCACCTCCCAGTGTTAAGCCCAGGACATCCCAATATGCCAAACTACACTGGAAATTGACATGCACACACCAACTTGGTAACTGAATCAAAAGTCACACACAAAAGCACTCTCCACCAAGCAAAATTGACCCATGAATGGACAAGATTTTAAACAACCAATGACAAAGTGAACACCTGTTTTGTCAGAATGATTTGCATGAGTGGTTTCTGTATAGGGATGCCATCCTTACTGACTATGCATACACATTATTTTAAAAGTAATGATTGTGACTTCTTTATCTCGTCCTGTGACATTGATTTCTGCGTAAAACTTAAGGCTCATTCTGTAACCAAGTTGCTGTGCATATAAATTCTCCTTTCTTATAAAGATAATCACTTGCTTTTGTGCATGTGATTAGTAAGGGATATTACAGCACAGCTGTGTACAAAAATTGTTTATTTCAATGTAATGAATTTTTATGTGTGGCCTTTGACAGAAGTGGCAAGTTTCTTTTGCTGCCCAGTGTATATCATCAAATCAAGTACTTAGTATCAATTTATTCACACTTGTAGACCACCAGTGCAATATAAAGGGTGTCTACACAAAAGAACATAGTAACTGCCTGCTCAAAAACTTTCGAAAAATATTTTTTTCGGGTCAGAATTTTTCCCCGTTGCTGATTTAAATTACTCCAAGGAACTTTTTAATTTGTGCATATTTACCGCCGCATGTACATGTACACTCGTCCTATACTCCAAACTGTCAAACGGATACTGGACAATTCGGGTGGCATCTGGCATTTTACGCAATAAATGGCATTTCGGGTTTTTTTCCCAAAGGAATTCGCAACTGCAAATTGAAAACAAAGTCAGGAACTTCGCGCGATGGCTCCGTGCAATGACAGCAGCTCCACCGTCGCAAAATTAACGCAGATCTTTTTTCCGTCAAGTTCGGGTGCACTTGTAAGATAATAGTCGAATTTTGGGGAGAATAATAATTCTTGTTATACGGTTTTCAATGCTTTTATCATCTCTTTTCACAATGCCGGGTTTTGCATTTACAATCTATTTCAACCGTCCCTATTTAACATTCACAATCCATATTTAGAGGCCCAATGTTTCTTTTGTCAGTGTCCCAATCTTCATTTCTCCGGCTCCTCGCACTGTGCGTCTCCGCCACCCCTTGGCTAGGCAACTGAACAACAGTACTGGTCTGTGCGCATACTGAAAAAATAGCAGCGATCCTGTGTCAGTCGTCAGGTATCCACACTTATTTTTTGCGTTAGCTATGTAAACGTGTAACACTTTGAGGACTGGAACACAGAGGAAGAGCACGGACTGAACCTTATTCACGGGGAAGTCGCTTTTGATCCTGTTCCTGAATCTATCGTATTCAGTGTAATCTGTCGGAGGGAGTGATCCCTGACTATTTTAGATCCCATGCTAACTTGTTCAAATGTTCCTTAAAACATTGTGATAAACTAAATCACAGATAAACTTAGTCATCATCGTAAATGAAATCTATTTGTAACGGGCCTCCATTTCATTAGGCCTACTTTCATTTCTATTCCCAGGTTCCAAAAACAAGAAAAGTTTGGCTCGCTTTCAATTCAATATGGCTTACTTGTGAATACTGTCAATTCCCTTTTGTCCACGCTGGTAAACCTTTTGTTGAAACCGGTCTTCTAACGTACGCTTAGTCTTTGGGCGAGTGTTTCCTGAGGAGATACAAAGAGCACAATGATTCAAGGGTGAAGTGCATTTCATTCAATGCTCTACCGTAGGCTACTCATCAGCGTGTAGCTTCCTCTCATTTACCAGTGTTTTAGAAGCACTTGTCTTGGCGCCCAAATAAGCGTGCGCGCCGCGTGCCGAATGCCACCTGCACAGAAACACGATGGATTAATGTTGGACTGGGACCATCACGATCGTGCTTCGCTTATTTTGCAAATTAGCCCGCCACCCAGCAGCCCAAATCGAAAGCGACAGTCAACCCACAAGACCTGTCCAGGACACCATAGAATTTCGGCGGGGCAAGGATGCCCAGGGGGACGCTGCTGTTAGACTTGATGCTTCTGGGAAAACCACGAGGGAAAAGTCACCGGTAATTCACCGTACATGTGCACTCATGAGCTCTGGTGACACATCCCAATTTCTCAAGAAAGTAGACAAAGTAGAAATGATTGAAAAGTCATAATTTAGCAGGGCTGTACAAGGTAAAGCTTTTCCGTTATCATCCTCGTCGGAAAGCTGCCTCAAGATGTGTGCGTTCAGGGTAGGCCTATTGTTCAAAATTTCTCAGCATACTGAAACAATCTGCAATTTAAAGAAATGGAAATAGGATATCAAGTCATTTGGAAGGGTAGCCAAGCTACCCGTCGGCTGACCTGATATCTTCGATCCTATCATCTGTGATTAGGGCCAATGAGTAAAATGCACGCCAATTAGCCCCAAAACTTCAGGGAATACACAGACAGGGAAGAACATCCCCAAGGCTCCCTGCCTTCGGCACTTTATTCTGAAATTGAATTACGGACCGTTGGGTCATGTATAACAAGGGGAATATAAACCCGGTCTTAATCCCTCGGTTTTAGACCGGGGTTGAAAGGCGGGACTTGTCTAATTGAACGAAGGGGTTAACATATAGCCCTGTATCCGGGCTGGTGATCAGTCACTCCTAGATCCAAAGACCACTGGGCTTCTTTTAAAACCCATTAAACGAATAACTTCGGTTTATACAACGAACCGCGCAGTAACCAGTCGTCTGTCGCAATCGAAAATGATAAAAATGTACTGCACGACTGAACGTGCTTGATAATCGACCTGTCTGTATTTAATTTGGGGTAAGATACCAGCCAGTGAGTCTTGAAATTAGAATACAAAAACCATTAAGCCATTTCAGGGTCGAAAAAAATTAAATAGCTTTATCATCGGCAACAACTACATACATACAGTATCCCCCCGCGAGAACAAAAAATTCCCCGAATTCCCCAGGAAGAAATCCTGGATCCGCCCCTGGACACGGGTTTGATGAACATCACTGTATGGATACAGAAAACACACCATTCCATCTACGCACTCGTGTCACTGAGCAAAGAGCACTGTTTCCTGTTGTTTCCACCACATAACACTCTCCCATTGTAGACGCAGCCATTTGCCACCGAGGGTAATAAGACTGACCATCGGGGACATGGAAACATCCTTTGTTCCAATTCCCTTTGTTTTTGTCCTCTGAGGTAATGTATGTACATGCACCACTCCTAGAACAAGAGCCTGGTGTGTGATTGAAAAATAAACAAACAAACAACCCAACAAACCGTGCAAAACACAGTCGTGAACACTGTAAGCTTAATGCCTGGAAGGTGAAGCTCGCGCTCATTTTTCTGCTACATTACCGTTTACAAAGTACCCAGGTCTACAGTAGCATTGGTTAGCAGCTGTTGCTGCACATCATAATGCTCAAACATGACCACAAGTGACAATCTTCAACCCACCAAAACTATCTTTATCTGAACGGCATTTCTGGATTAGTGCATGAGTAGGATGACATCAACGTTACCTTTAAGAAGAATGACTCAACCGTTGCCGCATAGAAGGACTTGAGCATGTCTAATTTTTTCCTCGTTCCCACTCTTTGAGAACTCTCGTCTCCGCGCATCAGTTTCTCTGTCAAGCAGCAGCCGTGACGGATGAGCCTCTATAAAACTGTCAGGGCTCCTGGTTTTACTCATTATGACATTCGATAGGCTGTGCCGCGCGAGTAATTGGCGCGAAAAAAAAAATTGGCGCGGAACAAAACAAAATTGGCGCGGAACAAAATGGCGGGGAAAGAAATTGGCGGCAGCAATTAAACCTGCCAAAAATGTCGGAAATAGCGAGTGCATGATGTTCAATGTTCTATGGAGGTTGACTCACGGGCGCTTATAATTCAAAATATGAAAAGGAAGGGAGTAACTAAGATACCAAACGCAGACTGCATGGTTAATTATAGAAAGTCCAAGTGTGGGGGAAGTTAAAAGCGCCAAGATTATGGAGTGTTGTTTCTCACGCAATCATATCTTACGCACCATCTTGGCTGTGACAGGTAAGGGGAGTAAGGGGAAAATGTTGTGCCGTGCAGACGCATGCTAGTTCCAAAGTTTGTCAATACCAAACACGTGTTCATGTCTAATGATTGAACCGTTGGGCATGTCCCTTGACGGCTTGGACCACATGTTACTTGTTCGCGTTGTACAGAACCAGACTACTGAAAATAAAACCTCATAGGTCTGCATTATGTTGTGAGCGTTGTAAATCGTGTTTGGAATGTTGCTGTGCATATCTGCACAAACTGGCTTTGCACAAGCCTTGATCAAGAGCAGAACGTCTGCACACCGTACGAAAAATCAAAATGAAACCTGGACAAAACTAAAATGGAGCGAGGAAGTCAATAGCATGATGCCTGTTTCAAAAATGGGATTTCAGTGGAGCTGGGCACATGGATGCCTTAAATTGCACATACCCATGACTGAAATGGTACCGTACTGAAAGCTTGTTGCTTATTTCGTGCGACCTTTAGGACTAGCATCAGTTTAGTTCTGATGGCTAGTAAACCATTATGCCAAACGTTGTATTTATCAAGGTACCATTTCTTCAACTCGGATATAAAAGGCTGCGTTAACCAATACTGATATTCTTTTTATCATGGAGTTAAGTACAGAAGGCAATCAACCAGCCTCAAAATATCCAATTACCATTTCCAAACTGCCGGGAATTTAAATGTCGAATGGAAGGAAACGGAGTGAGTAAAATGTTTTATAAGGGAAACTATAAAATGATAGCTCAGGACGCGATTCATCCATGCGCGCGCACTTATTGAATTATCCGTTTTTCAACCCTCAAATATTTGAACGCTTGACGCATTAACTACTTTGCAGCCAGTTGAAGATCTAACGGTGAAATTGAAAAAAAAACTAATCAATGAATAATTTTTCCAAATATTATTTCAGCTCAATCAACCCCAAATCTCGGAAGACAAAGATGGATCCAGAATTATAGCGTGTCAACGGCGAGCTCTGTGATTGGTCTGTATTTCGGCACAGGCCTGGCCCGGTCCTCAGGGAAGGTTTAGCGGGCCTTGTGCATGCTACGCACGGGGTAAGAAAAAAATCAAAGTGCGTCTATTTTACGCATCGTTTGATACCACAAACATCACTCGTCGATTCTGGAGGAAGATGCAAGATGGAAGAAAGGAGGCGAAACATGCGAGGAGGGAAAGATGTCCACAGGCCATCGAGTTCTTGCCGGCCGTCCGGATACTCCTGATTTGCAGACGATAGCGTGTTTGGGTAAACAACATTCGCGGTTTGCTGAAAGGCGACAAAGCATTTAGGGCTGAGGAAGATGGATGGAGGTGACGGGAGGAAGTACACCGCCGATAGCTCATTCGGGCTGGCGGGGGCTTTGGGGGAGAGTGGGAGAAAGAGAGAGATGATGGGGACAGGGGACAGCCAAGCACGTAGGAGGCTCACGCACGGGTTAGTCGGGACGAGACGACTCGGGGTATTAAGAGAGCGCGGCGCGCGCGGTGCCGGGGCCGATATGGAAGCACACGAGTATAATGATGATGAGGCAAAACACTCGGGGAGGAGGTCAAATGAATTGGGAAATGGAATGAGTGAGTGCCCCGCGGTGGGAAAATGAGGTGAGGAAGGGGAGGCAGGTTGCCAGAGATGATGGGTAAGGAAATGGGGGTGAGAGGTAGGACTGGGGGAGAACTCCTGAGTAAGACTGAGGAAAGGGTAATAAACGACCGTGGGAAAATGGAGAAGCGAGGGATGTTGCAGATTAAGCCATCATTACGTATCAAGCAGAAAACAGATCTGAAAAAAACTCCATATCCTTTAATTTGATAGGTGTATCTGTTACTGAGTGAGCTTTTCCTCAGAATTTGGGCGTTTCAAGGCTACAGCTTGAAGGTACGCATGAGTCTGTGCTTAAGGCTAGCTGCAAGCCACTGTCCATGGAGGTGTGTGTAAGCCCAGCCAGGTTATTTGGACACGGCGTAAGAGACATTACTCAACAGGAAGCCATTAGCGATCTTGTTACCTTGAACTTGTAAACTTATAAACTGTTGAATAAGATTGTTGCAGGGGCGTGTTTTAGCGATCCGGGCCAAAAACTTGTTTCAGCTTTGGTCATTGGTTAAACTTCGCGGTCATGCCTCTGTGAAGTCATTGTTCCGACCGAACGAGAACTGAAGGTTGGACTTGATTCAGCGCCGGTTCAAAATGGCGGAAAATATACAGGCAATTTTTGTCGCCCCTGCTGGGAGATGTGATGAAAAGGAGGAAAAAAATTTACAGCAGTGGACATTAAAGGTTGAGAGAGTGAGAGAGAGAGAGTTCATCCGATTGCAGGGTGAAGGGGTGGTCGGGGAAATGTGGCTTGATTGGACAGGTAACGTGAGCATGTACAGGTAGTGTGTCTCCCCCCTGACAAGCACGAGGTTACTAAAAGCTCGTTAATTGGCAGACTACATGCATTAGGGGAATTAACGTCAGTCGGGCTCCCGTAAACAAGCAGTCTGTTGGCCAGACGCCGCGGCAAGAGTGGCATTTATAATGATAATGCCTGTCACTCCATGCGATCTCGGAGACAGTTCACTCCCCATGCTGACCGTCACTTTATTCCCCATTTCCCATCCGGCAGCGGGTTTAACTACGTTAGCGTCAATTGC